TATGATTCTTGCATTGGAAGCGAGATAAGCGATGTTCGCCCCTGAATGGGGGTGGGGTGAGGCTCCAACTACACAAAAGTACCTTTTCCTAAGCTCAAGGTGTATAAAGAAGTAAAGAATTTACAAGCCGAAAAGATAAGAAAAACTGTCATTTAGGTATTTAAATGGAGGTTTAAAAATATCGTGAACAGAGGCGCATAACGCCTGATTCAAGTGAAAGGTTTGGAAAAGCGAATCAGGTCGCCCATTCTAAAAACATGAAAGGAGTACCTGTTTGTGCAAGCTTACACAAAGAGTTATCACACGACTATGATGTAAGTTACAGATCAGAGGGCCAACAACTTAAATCAGCCAATCAAACTGCTTTATTGCCGGTCCAATGTTTTCCTGGCATTTAAGAGCCACTGCCTGTAAATATGGCGAATCCGACGACAGGTCGAAAAATTCGGATTTTCTTTTATTGCGTCAAAAAGCCCCGCCCCCTACCTCCTTTGTACGTCCGACGGTTAATAAAAATGACACGATATACGTATGTCAGTCCATTTTAAACTTCAACATCCACCCCGGGTAACCCTTTAGGTAAAAGACATTTTGAAATTTCAGCTGGTCACATTTAGATCCCGAGACTAAAATGGTGTTCACATGCCCCCAATCTCAGGCAAATACATGGGGGAAATAATTAGTGGAAAAGAAAAATATCGCCCTCGAACACCTACTTTCAGCTACCACATTCCACTGTTATAATAATTATTTCAGTGAGAGTTTATCTTTACTTTTAAACAACTTTTGAAGCCATTTCTTTTATCCTCAACTTTCACAAAATACGGTTGTCTCTGGATATCTTCTACGACGCTTCACCATTATCTCGAGGTAAGTTGTTCAAATGAATCCTTATCTTTCCCTTGCCCACCCCAGTATCATACACTGAAGTCAAATTCCCGTTTCCGTGGCGAATCGACTGGTCAATGTCCCGAGTATGCTGGGAGGGGGGCGGGGCGTGGATATTAGTGCGC